AAGCGTATAAAATAGGTAACTATTGACCAATGACCGATATATACATATGCACATACCTACATACTTGCCCATATATGTTTAGATATGTACGTACATAAATGTTTATTTCCCAACGAAACCTTAGCCCAAACAGAAGTTACGATTTTTAGCTCCTGAGTGTGTGTGTGTGTGTGTAGGTGTGCATAAGGAATGAATAGGTGAAGAAGCAAGTGAGGATGTGATGAATTCAGTTGAAATTTTCCTGTTGGACTGATTTAGTTACATAGAATCAAAGTGATTGGGATTCTCGTCAATGAGTTCTGTAGTGGAATTCAGCAAGCTTTTATACATACATATACATATACGATTTGTCGATTCGAAAACAAACGAATTTCGTCGCTTACTCTAACGATTATTTCCTTTTCATAAAAATGGAGGAAAGATGGCATCATAGCTTAACAAACCGTCAAAAGAAGCGATAGTATTTTTAATATATGAGCTGCAAGGGTCTATAAAGTCTAGCAATGAGAAATGTGGGATGGACTCCACTTTTAAAACTATCCTGCATATCTTTTCTCATTATGGAGGAGCCCAAAATAAATGATTTGGTCACACTTCTGACCGGTGCTACTACAATAACAAATTGAAGAAAATTTACCCCTTCTATTCAATTTATGGCCCCAATAGTCCCTCCAACAAATGGTGTCGTTGATGAGGCGAAAATTTCCTTTGCAGTTTGCCGCTCTAATTGGGTCATGGGAACGGTTGTTTCACACGATGGCCTAACAACTTACGGAAGACTGACTTAAAGGGACGTTGATGTCTTTCAGTTGCGAAGAATGGGAATACGTTTAGAACCTTTAAGCATTTAAATAGTATTACAACTATAAAAATTCTCAAAAAAATGAGTGACAGATTTGCGTTAGGACAGACGCACATGACTGAACCAACTCAGCTCATCATTTCGTCTTCTCTATTTCTTCTTCTTCTGATACTTACATACTTCGAACCAGAGTTAATATATCATATCAAGTTCATGAAAGGTAAAAAAATTTATTTGGCAAAGCAGTAGATTTGAGCCGTGAATCCCAAAAACACCGAGTGTTTCTCCGACAAGAAAATAATGGAAATATTAAAAGATTATCGTTGTCATATCTTTTGAAACCATTGCTTGTTTCGGACAATTCTGTGTCCCATTCAATAGTTTAAGATTATTTGTCATTCAAAACAGTTAAACTGTTTGTAACATCAAAATGTTAGTCGTAGTTAAATATGTGCGAGGGCAACGAATGCCCAACTATTGTAGTATACCTTGATTCCACGATAACTCACACTTTCTGTTTCTCCTTTCAAAAAGTGTTTGTGGCTCATCATATATTTTATAAATCTTACATTCATTCTTCATCATACTAATTTGTGGTCACCAAATAACATTATTTTCCGTAATCAAACTCATACATAATGCCATGGGTGGTCACCATATTATTCGCGTGTGTTTGCAGAATTAGACTTTCCTTTTGTAATTTTTTGGATAAACAGCGTAAACTCATACACATATGTATGTTTGTAGATACTGCCCTGCCTCCATAATTTTCCGCCTTAATCTCAATCAATACGCTTGTTGGCTAATAAAAAACGAAACTAAAACATATTTTTTTGTCCCTTAAAAGAATAAACGCGTCACTGCCCTTATGGTTATTGTTATTGTATCAAATAGTACATCAATTGTGCATACATACATTCAATCAAATATTAACTAGCGGGCATAAACGGACAATCAGTATGTTATTTTCCAGCATATCAATGACCTTTTTTATCACCCTCCGTAAAAAACGGAATAGGGATCGTTAAGCATTCGTACGCTCCCCTCCCGCAAGTGTCAATAACTCATAACACATTATTATGTGTATGAATAAATGTACGAGTATGTGTTTGCGGATCAATGTACATATATACATATATCCACATGTGTAAGTCAATTGATTTCTTGACATCCTTTATAATAATATCATTTTTTTTGTTGTTATTCTATAATCTAATACAAATACAATCAGTCAAATGCGGCGCCACCGCAATAGTCCCTCACAGTGGATAACTTCATCAATAATTAAGTGATCAACGCACACGCACTATCCATTTCCTAATTGCCAAGTTAGCGGTTATCTCTTTACAAATTCACTTTTGTTCGCATACAAAGCTCTTGGACAGTCCATGAGATGTATGTGTGGCTTTAGTATTGTACAATGCAGTCGAGTTAACACCATTGGACTAGGTCTAGCTTGACCTAAGACGAGTCTTCAGTTTTCTCTTCTTCCTCTAATATTTCTATGGATAACGAATAAAATAACTTTGTGGCCACGAATAACGGACCGAAACAAAAATACAAGTCTTGCACCATGGACACCAGTGACATATACGTCTGCACATATAGCACCAGTATATACTACATGTCTCATTGTCAAATGTGTAATTTTTTTATGACACCAGAACAGCGTGTAGCCTGCGGCAAAATGAAATAAAAGTAACCCCTCAGTCAGTTTGCGGTGTGAGGAAATTGAAACCTTCAATAAATACCTCATTGCAGCATGTGTCAATTTTGAGCAGCAAATAACTTCTAATAACTAAAACATCCCGCCCCCGTAGTTTTTGTTTTATTTGTTTTGGTTTCTTTTTTTTCTCTTTTTTTTTTACTAATATAAAGAAAGTGAAAGAAGCCTGCGGCGGACTGAAGCGAAAATACGTAAAAAAGTTGAAGACAATCTTAAATAGCGGAGTTATTCGCAATGTCCATGATAAAATCTTATGAAATATTAAAAAAAAATACTCACTTTGAGTGTCTTCATCGGCACAAGTTTAAATTTATATATGTATAAGCACATTTGCTTTTATTTGTGGGGATATACATATTTACATATGTACATATGTATATAAGAAAATTAACCAGGTAATTTCGGCGTAAAAATTAGATGACCTACAAATGTACAGTAAATATACAAATAATATACAAATGTACATATACTATTTTAGCCACTTCCTAGTCAGTTGGATCAAAAGCGCAGAATGGTTTCGATTGACGGTCCTTGAAGATATGGTTTTACATTTTAAACTAAATGTCTGCAGTCAAGTGTCGTTGAGATATTTTTCCCTTAGTCCTGACTACGACTATACAAATTTAACTTGTATTCTTATTTATGCCTCATTTATTACAAAGCACTTATTTACTTATTATTTTGGAAAAATTTCTTTACCGTTTTTTTTTATTCAGTAAAACACTTCAAAGATTTTACACTCTTAACTTTAGATCAAAGTTCTTCTCTATTAGAAAATTTCCGTTTTTATCAGCATTTGGTAACTATTTTAAAAATCTGATAGAATCGATCAAATCGTTATTATTGTATATTTTTGCTCCAATAAACATATATATATATAGTATATAAATATATATAAAATACAGGTCAAATTCAATCGAAAGAAATATAAGCCGGACTCTGTAATTATTTTCGATTTAAATAATAAAAAAAATGTGAAAACAACGGTTATGAAAATATTTTTAACAGCAATCTTTTGGATAAAAAAAGAGGTCGGATTTAAATACTCATTTTAAGTCATTTTTTCATTCGAAATAATCAAAATAACGATTCGCTCTCTGGTCATTCAAATAATTAAGTTAGTTATACATATACATGTATGTACATATATGTACAGTCTCACACATAATATATAGATTTAGATTTAGATGAACTTTTATTGCTGAATCGGAAAACTTCTATAAATTAGAATAATGCTATGCGTTAAAATAGCCACTTTCTGGCATACAAACATGCAATTTGTAGAAGGAGGAAATTAATCGCAGCCACCACTGCCGTAATCAGGCAAATATCAAGCAGATGTGTGAACCACATATGTATGTATGTATGAATGCATAAACATACCAGCAAACAAACACACATACGTATATTTATTGCATTTTATCACACACACACACATACATACATACATATACACTCACACACACACACACACACACACACATGAACGTGTGAATGAAATTACGCATGAAAATAAGCCTACCTACCAACATTAGCATTTCGCCCATTAGCTTTGGGTGAAATTCAGCCTTCGAGCAATTGGACACGTATTTTTTTCGCTTTGGTTTTTGCAAATTAATTGTTTGAGATCTTATGAATTTATTACCATACCAAATATAACTGCAAAGATAGGTCTCGTATTGCTCATACGTACATACACATATGTACATATGTACACATATTCGCGCATAGAAATTAATGTATATTTATACAATAAGCGGGGGTGAGTCGTGCATAATAAATTTTTGCAAGTCTTAACTAAGTTTCGTCCACGATTACCCGCCAAATAAACTTGTAATACATCGACAATTGTGCGGCCTAACCGCCCCATAGCAAGCTATCAGCACTTAATATAAGCTTTTATGATACTTAAGAAACATACATACTCTCGTATGCATGTATGTATGTACACAAAAACATGTGTGTAGTTTGTGAGTGTATGTTAGTAGCAGCTAGAAAGCCATTCATTCCAAAATCGAATATGATATTTTTCCACAATCTTTGTTTTGTCTCATCTTACCATTTTCGTCTGTCGCCTCGGCACACAATTAGGATACAATTTATCGACACATTTTATTAACTTTTCGCAAGTTCTCGCTTCAGACATTTTTATGCATGTATGCATGTATGTACATATACAGCTTTACTGTAATGAAATTATACCGCAGTTTGCTTATTATGCACATTATTATGCACATAGTATATGTGTACAATTTTTGAAAATATCAACTATGGGAAATATACTTTATAGTTTCGAACTTGTTAAATAATTATTTTTTAAAATTTTTCATATTCTTAAAACTCAAAAATATATTTGTTTTGAAGTTTTGCTCAATATTTATTTAATTATAATGAATTTTTGGTCACTTATACTAGTTAAAAATATGGCGTATAACTCGAAGCTATACTGACAACAAACTCTTTTTCTTACAGACTCAGATGCCATGGAAACAGACCCTTCGGTGCAGGATATGCTTACTTGTGGATCCTGCCAGAAAACGTTTGCTCTTTCTGATATAGTTAAATTTATCCAACACAAAGTGCTACAATGTAATAAAGAGAACTACGGCCAGTGTTCAACTCAAGGTAAGAAATTAGAATAGGAAAAACATATTTAAAATATTAAAAAATAAAAATAAAAGAGAAATGTGAGATCTGCTCCTATAAAAATCAGTGCCAACTGTTTCATTAACTTCACCAAAAGCATTTGCATATTTTATTTTCGTATTAGTGTTCGGTTAAAATTTTTGATAATTTTCATTTTCAACAAAATCCAAAATTTCAGCTCCGTCAACCGATCGTGATGCGGACGATGGCCGACCTTTAAGTTTAGTTAACAGAAGACCCTCAATATCGGCGCCAATTATCAATCGAAAAACGTCTGGCTCTGGTTCACGCATACACACGCCGCCACCAAGTCCTGCGGATCTCTTAGCTGATGGCGCCTCAAGCACACCCAAACGCTTGGTCGATGGTAAGATAGAATTTCAAAATGTTTAACTGAACATACATATGTAAATACATAGTTAACTAAATTTTACTATTTAATGTTGCATCAGAAAACGATAACACCACACCCAGAAGTGAAGCACAAGCGGAGAAAAATGCATCTTCCGACTGCTCCAACAACAACTCAACCGAACCATATGCAGTGAGTGATGCGGATAAAATAAATACTGTGAGGATAAAGCAGGAACCGGAGCCAATCAATGATGACGAAAGCATAACTAGTGCACTGCAGCATGCAAACGAATCCAGCCAGGACAATAACGATGGTCAGCCGATGACAAAACGTCCTAAAATTGAAGTAGCTGACGCGGAATCCAACACATTACACACAGGTATGTTTAAAATTTGCCGAATGCAATAAACGCTGCATTCATTTGGATATAAAAATTTAATTACATATTTATAGTTTTTGCAAGGCGATGAGAATTCATCCTTTTGCATTCACTACCGAGCAGAATTTGCATATGTATGACATAGGTAGGTGGTGTGTAGGCATAAGAGCATAATGCATACAATGTAATTGCGTCGGCGCTTCGCTTGACAGACAGCGCAATGTATAATTTAAAAAGAATTCCTCACAAAAATGTTTTTGATGTTAAAGATTTATTTGATATGTCAACACAAGAAAAAAGTCCACTCGCTTACTGAAAACACATGCAAAATTTCGACGGAAAAACAATGGACATAAATACGTATTCATGTATGTACATATACACGTGTGTATTTATAAACCTATGTTAATGCGTCACTCTTGACCTCTCCCGTTTTCACCCTTCAAAAATGCAGTCAGCATCACAACAATCCTGACAAATAAAAAAAAAACAGGTAATCCTGACATCAAAAGCTATTGTAAAGTTTTCAAGTATGAGTTGAAAACAGATAAGAATTATCTGTAATGGTTATGCCCTCATTGATGATTCGTGCGTACATTTAGCAGTACTTCAATATGTGATATGTATGTATGAATGTATGCGCTTTTCTTTTTGTTGCCTTTCTTCAATATGTATGCGTTTTAAGTTTGCGTATTTATGTTTTTATTCAATTACTTTTATCTCTGCTACCGTACTTTTCGAGTCACAAATTAAACTGAAGCTGGAGAAACTAAATTGTTAATCAACACAGAAATCACGTTCACCAAAATATGCTTAAGTCTTCATATGTGTACATATACATACACACATCCAGAACTGACCATAGTTATTAAGACTCAAGCCCAGAAAATTTCAAGTTAATTGTTTTCAAGTTATTGAAAACGGTTTCCTTTTGAAATAATGTGAAGAAGCCTTAAGGACAACAAAGTCAATGTGGGGTGGCATATTTCGCCAAAAGGTATCTGCGGCCACTACGAATGTATGTTTGAGCTAAAGTTAAAAAAATACCACTTTGTTTCACCTCAACTTTAATTTATTAAGTTTATTCTCTTCTGAAAATTTTTTCTGTTTTTAGTGTTCAGTTCAATTTTAAAAAATGAACCAGAGGAAACTAGGAAAATGAAGTTTTAAGTATGTTTGGTTGTTAATTATTCTTGAAGCTTTTGAGTGAGAAATTAAGTTTTAAGACGGTCTTTCAGCAACTTCTCTTTTTAAATACATATTAAACTGTTAGGAATCCATATGAAAAACTAACAACATTCATGCGATCTCTTCAGCAACAGTTATTATTTCAATTGGTTTAATTTTAATATATTGTCATTAATTCTTTTCGACTTCCAAATAAGATTCTTAAATTTTACCACAATGCAAAACCTACTAACTAATCTGACTAAAATGCTGCAATCGAAAGAGTGCAAAAATTTTTTAAAAATTATTTTTTGTGTATACCATTAATTGAATATGATGAGTTTTTTTTCAACTTTACACAAAATCTGATGCAATCATTCCTGACTTCAACATTAATCAATTAGTTTAGTTAAAGATTAGTCAAAACCTTATTAAAATTTTACATATCGCAAGTAAGCTCACATCTCTGTTATTTAACAATCTACCGCAATCATTTCCATAAATGACCTTACAAAAGGTATACTCGATTATTTACATATGTCAGAGCAAATTATATCAAACACTTTTTATATTTACATATCTAGCTTTTAAGTTATATATTATATGTACGCACATTTACACTGTCACTATCGGAACTTTAAATCTGCATCTCTTCATTTCAATTCACATTTAAACAATAATAAGCAATGACATAATGAGACTGGATCTTTTAACACTAGCTTTTGTTACAATAGACCGTAAATTGTGCAAATGATTCGACGTTCTTAAGCAATTAGACATTTATAGATGCACAAGATACGTACATACTTACGTACATGCACATATGGATACATGCATGTGCATACAATTAAAGTCGAAAGAGCGACAAATAAATATATACGTTGTATAAATACGAATGAATCAAATTCCACTACCGTATACATCCAGCCCTTACATGCATGCATACTCTTACGTACACATTCATATCCTGAACGTGAGTAATTGTACGTGAAAGGACGCCGAATACCCACGTATACACACTGCTGGCCAATGCCAAACTCTGCGTTGCATAAAACACTTGCATACGCATTTACAATGACTTGGACTTGAATTTTGAATTGAAAGCACAATAGAAGAAGTTCCTTTGTTACTTTGTTACTCCTTTTGAAGGGCAGTGCAAAAGTATGACAAAAAAGAGTTACAGTGTACGCGTTAGTGTTGTTTTATGTTTTAGATTGTAAGGAATATTATAAGCCAAATCCAACGGGCCGTTAAAGATGCCACACACTATTGCCCACAAACTGCAGGGGTTCTAAAATGTTTGCATCGTTGACCTTTAGTTTGCCATTGTTGGAGCTTAATGACTGCTGCCAACTTTAACTTAAGGGACTTCAAGTGAGCACATATGGCTAGATATTGGACAATCATACAAACACAAGGATAAACGACTGTAGGGAAAGTGTGTGTTACTTCTAATATATTTGTCTTAAATGTATAGCTACAGGATCATTACAGGAAGATTCTGATAAGGAAATCATTATTCACAAAAAATATCAATATTTTGGCGACACCATTGCATCTATGGCGAGATGTGTGCATTTTATATAAATTGCTACACTTAACTCGATTTAATATAATGAATAAGCTAGATCTGAACTAAATAGTAGTGCTTCACTGCATACAACATATAGTGGTATATATAAATATATGAATGTATATGTTAGTTAAAATGGTAATTTGTTTTTTTTTTCGTTTAGTTTCAAAATTATTTACAGTTATTTGTGTATTCAATTAAAAAATCATGAATGCAACCGTCACCGTAACATGGACAATCCACTGCTTGACATTCGAAGTTTTAATTATGCAAGAACATAATGTATTGTTATCAATGAATAATTTAACCAAATGCCAGTGAAAAAAATATACATATAAATTTACAAAGTATATGCACAGAGCTTCAACTTACCCTTGCACAATGAAAAATTACCCAATTCCATTAAAGCTAAAAAAAAATATTTACAATTACTAACACTGTCATATATAGTATATATTGTTTTAATTACAGTTAGTTTGAACCATTCCTAGATATGATGAGAAAAAGGATTTCCTAGTCATAAGCTGCATGAAGTTGTTATCGGAAAGTGATGCCTTATGATGAATTTCATTGTTCGGTTTTCGTTTTCGAACTTGATGTTCGCACCTATATGACGTGCTAGAAATTTAAATAACCATATATTTGCCATTTTGAAATCGGTCGGCTACAGGCACGCGATATTGCCAAAATGTACATACATACATATATATATATACATATATATATATTATATATATATTTGCTCGTATTTTTAGGGGCATGCATTAAACCGAAACACAAAGGAGAAATTTATAATTTTCATGAAGTGAATTGATTATGAAAGCAATGTTAGTTTGCTTTTTCAGAATTAGTTGTTTTATTTAATTTAAGAAGAAAAAAAAATAGATTTTATATTGTTCGCTTCTGCTGCATCAATATGAAAACTTCTACTTCTACCGACTAACTGTTGTTGTAATTTTTGCACTATTTCCCAAAAATGTATGGTCTGAGGCAGTTCTATGAAACTAAAAACCCAGGAATTATTTCCATTGAATATCTGAAATCCCACTCCCTCAACGAGACTGCTAATTTCAGATCAACAACTATGGACGTTGGCTTATGTTGAACGTTACGTTTCGTAGTTAAGTCCAAGGCAGAAAAACTCTAGTTGCGGAGTGTGTTGAAACACCTCAAATCAATCCGTGCGATTTTCAATTCGTTATCGAAATAAAGTCGCGCTGTTTCCAGCCCATGCCGGAATTTCTTAAAGATTGAAATTCACTAGAAAATGTCTAGAGTATACAAATGTACATACATAAAGAGATGATGCAATGACAACAGCAGCGCAAAGCAGGTAGAATCCCATTAACCACTTGCAAACAATTCAAAGAATGATAAATATTATCAACAGGCATGTATGTGTATGTGTGTACATACATATGTTCAAAAGTCCATATACTAGCGTCTGAGTGCATATGTAACTAACAACAGGCTTAACAACGTAAAATACCAAAAAACAATTACCACATCATGCGGGGGCTTAACCCATTCAGTACTTCTTATGCGATTTGTTCGTTGTTCTGCACTGTTATCGAAACTGCAGGCGGTCGGTTGGTCTGTCAATTTGGCATTTCCGTTGCTACTCGCACTTGAAATGTTCTCAACGGAAACGCAGTGACCCTGCCGTCAATGGGACCAAGGATTAACGGAGGTAGTTAAGGATCTTTTAAAACAATGAATATTCAAAAGTAAGCAGGGAAAGCTTTACGCTGCTAACACTTTCTTGGCGCGCAGTCAGTTTTTACGAGTGTTGTTTTTGCGATGCTGCCTACATATGTACAAACGTGCATGTAACATATGTATTTACGTATGTAGATATGAATACAAGGAATACTAAGAGCCACATCTTCGCAGTAAGAAGTTACTGAAGAAAGTTCAGATTGCAAGGGCATTATTTAACAATTTGAATATTTCTTCATAGTGAATATTTACTTAAATGCTAAACATTTGTAAAAAAAATTGGCAAAAAATTAAAAAACATAGGTTAACAAAAGCTACATTAAATAATACAAAATTATTTAGCAAAACATTGAGAAAAATATGTACATACATATGTGAAATATAATAACTTTGAACGGGCTTCAAAATTTCTAATAATTGCCTGTAGTACAAAAATAAGGCAGGAAATTATTATGTACGATTCCACATCCTCCATTTTAGAGAAAGGAATTATCCGACGGTTTTTAAGCTCTCTATTATCAGCTGCTCTCTCTTTCAGCTGTTAGTAAATGTTTGTATATATTTTTTTCTATGCGAACCAGTATT